TATTTATCATACCACTGACTGACTTAATGAAAGCACAAGCTCTCCTCACCCTTCAAAGAAGGTTAAGAATTTTTATGATAACTACTTTCTCTGGAAACATCAGTGACCTAAAGGGTGGGGCAGGCCTATGAATGGTGAATATCAATTCTTGATGGATAACCACTGCATAGTGGTTTAGTAGTTAGAACAGGTGGGGAAAGGAAGGTAACCACTTATTTCCCTAGATTCCATTTATTTTTTGAATGATTTTTAATAGGTCACATGATTCAAAAATTGAAAATACCCTAAGAAACATGATGGTCTGACCCATGAATGAGTATCCACCCTTCCACCACCACTCTGGTCTTACAGGTAATCCTTGTATCACTTTCTATCACTATTTATTTTTCTAGTGTTTTCTTTATACAAAATACAAAAAGCAAATAGGAATATATATATACATATATATGTCTCACTTTCTTATGTAGAAAGCATACTGATTTGAATATGAATTTATCCAATTCCTCTGTCCTAGCGATCTTTCTATATCAGTGTATAGAGAGTTCCTCATTCTCCTTCATAGCAGCATGGTTCCCATGTCATTGTCTGTTTTTTCACTGTTCCAGATTCCTAACTGGTCCCTTGTTGATAGTTATTTGGTTTGTTAAAACCTTTTGCTTTTGTGACCAGTACTGCAGTGAATCATGTATGTGTGCAGCAATTCACAGAAGCTTATTTGTGTCAAAGGGTAAATGGGTTTGTACTTTGGCTAGGAATTGCCAAACTGCCCTTCACAGAGACTATGCCAGTTTTTATTTCTACCAGTTCCTGTTCCCTGTGTCTTGTCAGCAGAGTGTGTTGAGAGACTTCTGGATTTCTGCCCATCAAATAAAGTGGGAATGGTAATTATATACAATACAATTTTAAGCATGTGAAATTTAGCTTTTCTTACCCAGCCGAGGAGACAATATTACCTTAATTCTGGTGTTGGATCTCTACCAAATTAATGTGATTATAGGTAATTTCCTCCTTGTCCCTACCCCTTTTTCTTAAGTCACCCCCCCCACTTTGCCTTTTAGAAAGTATACATTGCTTCAGAAAGAAGCAGTACTCTTTTTGTTTTGTTTTGTTTTAAGATTTTTATTTACTTGACAGATCACAAGTAGGCAGAGAGGCAGGCAGAGAGAGAGGAGGAAGCAGACTCCCTGTGGAGCAGAGATCCCAGGACCCTGGAATCATGACCTCAGCTGAAGGCTGAGGCTTTAACCCACTGAGCCACCCAGGCGTCCCGCAGTACTCTGTCTTAAAAGTTATTATACCACTTGTTTTATATTATTGCTTTAGATGATAAATCCCTTATAGTTTCTTAGAGCAGAGAAATCCTCCTTGTAAGAGACTATTTTAATGCTTATATTTAACATAGGCATCTCTGGAAGTATTCTTGTACCCTTTGAGGTTATTATAGGGCCGAGCTGTTTTCTGGCTTTACAGTTTTAGGAACTTAGTGCGCTGATTGACTTAGACTCACAAGATTGATTCTGAAAACTGGAATGTCTGCTGATTTATTTACAATGGAGGATATCTTTAAAGGCACCAAAATATACCTTCTAGGTCACTTCCTTCACCTGTCAAAGTAAGAGGGAGATTGAATTTGGATCACCTTGTAGGATAGAATTCCAAATCACAGAGATTTAGGACCATGAGGTATAGAAGCTGAAACAGGTTAAGTAGAACTGGAATTAGATGTGAGGTTCCAAATCTCTTTCTGCCCATGCTGCACTGGTAAGTTCTAGTTCTTGTCCAGTCTCATACTTGGTTTCCTTAGACACAGTTTTCTCCTAAAATAGTGCTTTGAAAATAGGAGGGGCTTACTTGTTTAATTCATCCAAGAGACAGATTCATATGTACCGGGTACTTTTACTAAATGAGTAGTAATAGTGCTCACCATGGAACACCGTTGTAGTACACTATATACATTCAGTACTTCAGTTCTTACCACTGCCGTATGCTCTGAGTACTGCTCTTACTACCCTCATTTTACAGATGGGAAAACCAGGAAAAGTTAAGTAACTTTCCAGGGTCACTCAGAGGCCAAAGCTATGATTTGAACATCTGGCAGTCAGGCTTCGGAGTCTGGAGTTCTAGCTGTCATCTCTTCTGCGTCCCCCAGAGTGAAGCCATTTTTACCATAGTACATTTCATTTTTTTTTTTTTATCAGTCCCCTGATCATCTCGTGAGACTGTGCAGAAAAGCCTTTCATAAAGTTGATTTTTTATTTTTTAAAGATTTTATTTATTTATTTGACAGAGAGAGATCACAAGTAGGCAGAGAGGCAGGCAGAGAGAGAGAGGAAGGGAAGCAGGCTCCCCGCTGAGCAGAGAGCCCTATTCGGGGCTCGATCCCAGGACCCTGAGACCATGACCTGAGCCGAAGGTAGAGGCTTAACCCACTGAGCCACCCAGGCGCCCCTCATAAAGTTGATTTTTAAGGTTGAGGTTTTCTGATTACATAGGGGTGTTGTCCCAGACTTAACAGCCACATTTACCTTGAGGGGAGACCTAGGCTAATCTAAAAGGCTAGCAGGAGATACTTTGTGTTCCTTTGGCTCAGTTTAATTCAAGACAAAACACTTTTTGAACCTGGCCCCCAAATCTTGGGCTGTGCCTTGCAGGGCACTAATGTCAACAATGTTGCCAAGCCAATGGTGGTTTAGGAAGAATAGAAAAAGCAGTCTTCATTTGCTTTGAGGGCCAGCTAGTTTTGGTAAATTAAGTCAAGTTCAGGAAACCTGGGTGGTAGCTCTTTTTCTGCCCACAGTAAGTAGCTCAGAGAACTTGAACCTTCCAACCTGATTTCTTCCCTTAGGGCATGTGGACTAGGCCTAAACAACGCTTTCTGTGAAGATTAAACGGATCACATTTTGAAAACCATAAGATATATACCACTGGCAGCTAGCTACTGTCAGCTTTACCAGGACAAGCATCTTTCAGAAGTTGGATGGTTTTCTCTTTGTTTTTTATTAGAGCTTGTCTCCAAATGTGAGGACAGGAGCTGTCATTAATGTGGACTGCACTTAACCAGGGAGCAAAGCAAATTTAAAACTTTTAAAATTTGCAGTAAAATAATTACGAAGGGAACAACATATACCTTCATGTTCACATTCGGTTTTCAGGTTCTGGGAAGGCAGACCTGAAAGTCCGGGATCAAGGGCTAAGATTGGATTTCCAGCAGGGTTCCTAGCTGCCTTGCACAGAGGAGTAAAAGAATCTCCGTAGGCAAAAGACCTTGGTTCAATCTCTCTTTATACTCTTTGATGCTTGGGCAGGCCCATCTCTCAGAATTCGGGGGTGGGGGGAGGGATAAGGCTCAGCCAAAAAAAAAAAAAAAAAACCCCACAAAAAGCTGGCCTTACTAGGTGCCAGTTACTTTGTGTTGTAATAAAATGTTTCTTTGGGCTCCCTCAGAGTCTCCATTACTTACACCTCTGTGTTGCAAAAAGTCCCCTGAGAATGTGATGATTGTACCACATAACTTTATCATCCTCTTAATCACTGCTTTGGTCACTCAGCCAGTCCCTGATTTGGGCCATCCATCAGTCTTTGCTTCCTGTGCTTTTCAGAAACCTTGGTGTAACAGGCATATGGTCTAACTTTGAGGGAACATCTTAATAGGTATCTACAAATGTAGCAAACAAAACAAAACCCTCACACTGTTGAATCGTTACATGAGAGCCATAGTCCTTCAGAGCTGATATTTGCAACCTTCTTAATTATAGGAAGTAGACACAGAATGGGTAAAGTGATTTGACCAGGACTCTATCCTACAACCGAAAGGTTAGGTAGCTACTGTGGTGCATAGGAGAGACGGTGGGAGTAGCAGAGGTGGGAGGGGACTTGGTTAAATGGATTTGGCAAAAATAAGTCGGTGGTAGCGGCGGCCATGACTCTTCCCCTTTTTTCTGAAGCTCCTGTTTCCGAGACAAAGGCAATATAGCCTAATTTAGCATTTCCTGAAATTGTCAGATGCTAAGAATTGTCCAAGAGCACTTGGTATACAGACATTTCCAGGACCCTCCACTGGTATTTGCTAGGTCTACTACAAGATCTGGGAATACGTGTTCTACAATCACAGTGAGCGGTTCTTACAAATTAGGGTGTTCTGATAAAAAGAGTAGAATTCAGGATACCTTTTTGTGCGGTCCGGGGCTATCAGGTAGTATCCCACCGTAAACGACGGTCCTGTTAAAAACCCTGCCCTTGCAATGCAAAAGTAGCTCCTTTTCCTTACGTCTTTTTTTTTTTTTTTTTTTTTAAGATTAAAGAGTATACCAGAAGGAGAAGAGAGGGCGAGAGGAGGCTGTATTTATACAAATTTTTTTTAAAGATTTTATTTATTTATTTGACAGAGAGATCACAAGCAGATGAAGAGGCAGGCAGAGAGAGAGGGAAGCAGGCTCCCCGCTGAGCAGAGAGCCCGATTCGGGACTCGATCCCAGGACCCCGAGATCATGACCTGAGCTGAAGGCAGCGGCTTAACCCACTGAGCCACCCAGGCGCCCTTCCTTACGTCTTTTAACTGGCACATCCCTAACCTAGAGCTGGAGTGGCTTTCTCCGGTCCCGGCTAGGAGGGAGACACGCTCTACCCGAAGACCGCTGGTTGGGGGCCACGTCTCTGTCCGGCGTCCCTGTGGTGCTCCCGTGCCGCGCTCCCATTGGCTGGAAGTTTCCTCGCCAGTAGCCCCAGCGGCCCTTACTCGCCACGCCAGCCCATCTGGACTCCGACCGCCCAGGGGGCGGGGCGATGATGGGGCGGGGGCCCGAGGGCGGGGCGGGAGATGGGGCGGGGCCTCGCGGCGCTGCGGAAGTCCGGGCAGCCTATGGCGCGGGAGGGAGTCCCCGGCCGCGCCCCCACGAGGTTGGGCCGGGCCGGGGCCAATCCCGGGCGACTGGGCGGGCGAACGCGGGGCCTGGCCGGGCGGCCCGAGGGACTGGGGGTGGGGGACAATGGGCTAGTTCCTGGTGCGTCACGGGGGAGTTCCTTAAAGGGGAAGTGAGCGGGGCTACGGGGCGGGTGTGGGGTGCGGTGGTCCGCGGGGGAGGTCCCCCGCGCTTTAAAATAATGCCCGCGGCGCCCGCGCGACCATGCAATGGCGAGCGCTCGTCCTGGGGCTGGTGCTCCTCCGGCTTGGCCTCCATGGAGTGCTGTGGCTCGTCTTCGGGCTGGGGCCCAGCATGGGCTTCTACCAGCGTTTTCCGCTCAGCTTCGGCTTCCAGCGCCTGAGGGCCCCCGACGGCCCCGAGTCTCCTGCCTTGGGGCCCGCCGGCCAGCCCGGGCCGCCCGGGGGGCCGTCGGGGCCGTCGTGGCTGCAGCCGCCCGTCCCTGGGGCGGCGGCGGCGGGACGGCGGCGGGCTCCGCGGCGGCCGGAGCCGGGAGTGTGCGGGCCGGCCCACTGGGGCTACGTGCTGGGTGGCCGGGGCCGCGGCCGGGACGAGTACGAGAAGCGCTACAGCGGCGCCTTCCCGCCGCAGCTGCGCGCCCAGATGCGCGACCTGGCGCGGGGCATGTTCGTCTTCGGCTACGACAACTACATGGCGCACGCCTTTCCCCAGGACGAGCTCAACCCCATCCACTGCCGCGGCCGAGGGCCTGACCGCGGGGACCCGTGAGTAGTAGGCGCTGGCCCGACGCCCGGGCCGCGCGCCCCACGCGCTTCCTTCCGTCCTCCCGGTCAGGGTGCAGCCTTCTGACCTCCGGGTCCCCCAAGGGATGCCAAGGCATTTGGGGGCCTGGAGCCACACCTTCCCGCTCAGTGCTTTGGCCCTGACACTTCCCCCGGGGGGTCCCCCTGGGCTTGGGCGGGGGTTGTGGATGGGCCGGTGGCTGTCCTCTTTCTTGATTCTCTCGGGATTTCTGAGTTACAGGACAGCTGTCCAACGCAGTCTCTTTTACAGATGGGGAAACTGAGGCTCAGAGACCGGAAGGGACGGTAGCAGTACCAGGGGTTAGCTTCGGAGGCTTTAGATTCTCATCTTCAACAACCCCTTCTTCAGATGAACATGTATATAATCAAAACGAAATCCCTTGTAAACGCAGCTTTCAAAACAAGCCTTCCATCTCCCTTCCACCCATCCCCATATAAAAATTCAGGAGTTGGTTCCCGGAAAGGACTTCTCCAAAGCCAGCCAGTGATCGGGAGGCAGAGCAGGGTTACAACCTTTGTCCTTCATTTACAGGGGCTGCTACTTAGGCTAAGGGAACTTACAGGAAAGGGGGGTGGGGGGGATGGAGATTGAGAGACAGAGGCTATCTAGCTCAGATTTGGGGTCTTGATACTCAGGGTTTGATTCTTTGGCCACTGCATTGCTTGTCACCTTTATCTGTTCCATAAATTCCTCCACTCTGGTGGCTGGACTGTCCAGTAAGGTCAGCCAGTCCTCCCCTCCCACCAGCCTTTGGAGGTCAAGCTTCCAGGGTCACCCCTGTTGACATCAGAGTCCAAGAGGACAGCATACCCAGCTGAGGACCTTCCAGCTGGAGGGAATGGGTGTGCTTTGCCATGGATCCTGTTAGACCAGATAGGTGACTACCTTCCTCTGGGTGGTTGGGAGTGGAGGAGTTGGGCTGCGCATTGACTTGACCCCAGGTTCTGTGGGTGCCTTTGGACTTTTAGGGGGATGTATCTTCCTTCACCTGGTAAAAGGAAGAGTCCAGTCCTTAAATTCTGAAAAGGAAGCCCATATACTAAAGGGGCTTGAAGAATTTTTAAAAATGGTTTGGTTATCTACAGAGTCATATCTCAGATGACAATTTGAGGAGCATCAGTTTTAGTGAAGCGAGGGGCACAGTCCAAGCTATTTCAAAGGACTGGACCTTTTAAAGATTGTAGGAAACTGATGAGTTACTTCTTTTGTGTCACCTTATCGGGCTTTATGCATATAAACACTTTCTCAGTTTGTTTTTTTTTTTTGAGAAAAATTTTTATTAATATTTGATAAAAATTACTGGGGCCTTTCCAGATATTAGGAAATTAATGAGTTAATTGTTAGTCCTTAAATGTACCAGACTTTATACCTATGTATTTTCTTTGGATCTCATTTTTTGTTGTTTGTTGTTGGAGGAAAAAAAAAAAGATTAAAATTTGAAAAAATAAAAAAGCCTAAAACCCCGTCAGACAGTTATTTTTAATTTATTTTTCCTGCCAGCTCCCACCCATATGCCTACACATATTTTACATAGTTGAAACCAAGTGTGTGTACATATTTTGGATCTTACTTGTATTTTCCCCCTAATGCTCATGGTATTACAAGGCGGGAGAGGTTACTTTGAGTAAGTGCCCTTATTCTCTCTCACAGACTTCTTCCTCAGATTTCCTTTTATGGTGTGGACCTAAGGAAAACAGTTTAATGAGGACTTGTGATAACGCTTTCAGTTGGGAATATCATGATCAGGAGAGTGAGTTGATGACATTTTGATGCTTTTCTTAATGAACCGTAGAAATCCTTTGGAGAGTTGGAGCCCCTCTCCAGCAAGGTGACGTGGCAGTTGATTAACTTGCTGGTCCCTGTGGTAGTTCCGGGTGGCATAGGCTTTTGTTTCAGGATGAAGTGTGCTGAGGAGGGTCTTGGTTTGATTGTACAATGGCAGTGCAGGTAAACTAAGGTCAGCTTGCTTTGAGACAGCTGAATGGTTGTTGGAAAGATGGGAGTTTGAACTACTGAGGGGTGGCATTTGGGAGGGGTTGTGCCCAGAGGTTAATAAACCTTTCAGTTGGTAAACCTTTGATGTCTTTGAGGAGGTGAAAGAACTCTGGGGTTATGGTGACCCTGAGTAGACCCTCACACTGGCTGCTTCCAAAAGAGTGGAAAGGTTAATTTTTTTACTCTCCTTTCTTTAGCTTAACTTTTTTCAGACCAGTATTTTCAAGGAAAAGTTTAGAACCAGAGCTTTGTCATTCTGGCTCTGAAACAATAGGATACGTTTACATCCCCAAGATAGATCACTTACAGTAAAAACTTCTCAGATTTTATTTTATTTAGTTTTTTAATTTTTTGGGGGGGGGGTAAAGATTTTATTTACTTAAAGGAGAGCAAGAGTGAGAGTGAGAGAGCACAGAAGGAGAAGGAGCTGAGCAGGGTGCCTGACATGGGTTCCATCTCATGACCCCGAGATCATGACCTGAGCTGAAGGCAGACGCTTAACCGACTGAGCCACCCAAGTGCCCCCAGATTTTTCAGATTTAAAAAAATCAAATGTATTCTAATGATAGTTCTCAAGTTTATTCTAATGATATATTTAAAATATAGAGTGACATAACCATTAGAATATTATGTAGGAAGTACAGAAACAAACCATGGGTGTTCTACCTGTGTCTCTTTTCTTTTTAGTCACATGTGCTTGAGGCTTGTCTTGCCTGTCTTCTTTGACTGTAGGTAGTGTGAGGAGTTACCGTGAAGTTACCGTGAAGTAAATGAAACCTGAACACTTTAAAATAGCAAATCTTTTGGCCCAGTTATAGATTACTTTGCAAAGTCAGTTACTATCATATCCCCAATTTGGGTTGGAGGTTCCAAGTTTCTTCAAATAAATTTGGATATTCTATTTTTTGTAATCTTGTGAATGCTAACAGTAGTTCAGGCTTTGGGCACGTGATCCTTCTTTGCTTCCTCCCAGCCATATTGCTGTTCAAGTAAAAAAGCAAATCTGTGCACAACCCCAACTGATATTGGCCCCCAAACTGACCCATTCCTAGGCACCCCTAGCATAAGATGGCTTCCTGTGCATTCTTCCTTCTTTCTAAACTCCTGTCCCACTTCAGAGTCAGACCTAAGTCGTTTTCTGTGATGCCATTGAACTTTTGAAGACTATTTTTCTCACTTTATACTTGGTTCTCCTTTCAGTTCCTTTCTTTGGTTCTTTGGGCTGCTGTTCCACCTTTCAACATCACTTGAGAACTGAGTGCTCTTGTATATTCACCTTCCTTTCCCTTTGTCGTGTCTCCCCAGATTATCAATCCCTCGACACAGAGACCGTTTCTTATATTACCTCTGTGCCTGCCCAGCACTAGGTAGATTTCTGAACAGCTGGTACAGGTTAAGTCTATGTGGGAGACTGTTTTGTTTTTTTTTTTTAACCATATGTTTGATTTTCTTAGTTACATAAGAAAAAATTGCCCGTCAAAGGTTGTAGTTTCTTCCAGCTCTGTTTTGGAGTGATACGAACCTTACAAATGCACACTGGGGTGAATGTCATGAACAGTCACACATGGTAAAATTAAGTGGAGAGTTTAATTCTGGGTCATCGTAGTTCCGCCAGCTGGTCATGTGGAAAGGTGTACTTGTGGGCCTATCCTTATACTGAAAGATTGAGTTCTTGGCTTGAGGCACTTAGCAGGTAAGTCAGGCTAGCCATCGATCAAGACTATCTCCAGAGAGCAAGGCCACAGTCGTACACCCACATTGTGGGCTGGCATAAATGGAATCACAGTATAATGGTGCTGTTAGGCCAAGAGGGTTTTATGGAATCTGCATTTCCCTTCACACCCTCTTTTTTTTTCTTCTTTCTATTTTGGTACATTTTGAAAGACTGTATAGCAATTACTTGGTAGAAAATAATTAAAAGTGCTTTAATGCACACCTTAGATTTTTCAGGGGATTTGTCTTAAGTGGAGAGAAGGACCCCACCCACTTATTCCAATTTTTTTTTTTTTTTTTTTTTTTAACCGTAGCATTGCTTGTAACTGTTCATTGTGAGTGACTGCTTGGACACTGTATCGAGAGGTATTGTAAAATTGGGTCCTTTTTAGTTATAGCCTGCAGGAAAAGTACTATACATCATGTGAAGGAGTACAGCAATCAAAAGTCATACTACCTTCCATGGGCCTGTGCAGATGGAGAGGGTGACCTTGGCCCAGACGAGGTACAGCTCAGGAGAGGGCAGTTGGGGTATTTTACACATCGTCCAGCTTGGATGCTAAGTGGCGAGAGAGCCATTTTCTAATGAGGTGGGTCGTGGGAACCACTCATTGTTTCTGAGCCGCAGAGCAAAGCAGTTAAATATTTAAACCCAACAGAATATTCTAGAGTTGGCAGAATCGAGCAGGAGGAGCTCCCTGTCTACTCTGACCTTCTCCAACGTTTGGCATTTCCTGTATCCTTTCTGGCTGGCACTGCCCTTGAAGTGCTTATTTTAACCCCCAGCTCTCCTCCTTAGGGGACCTTTTGCAATTATATAACTCCATTTAGGAAGAATCTACACATAGAAGAAGCCGGTGCAGTTTTCAGCCGTGCAGTGTGTTGGCCTGATGGCTTGTAAGGGGCGAGATAATCCTGGTTCCCAGATAGCCCCTTCTCTATAGCTTGTTTCAAACAATGTATTTACCTTAGCTCTGAGTTCGTTGTCCTAGATTCAGTGGGGTACTACAGCACACAACAAAGCAACAGGAAGGCTCGTGTACGAGCAGCTGTGATGTGGCCGTCGGCCGGGCCCAGGCACATGGGAGGGTGCGCTTTCAGAGAGCAGAGCAGACCCTCCCGAACGGAGGGAGGGAGACCAGGCCCCATTCGAGTGACTCAAGGACTAGCTACCGTGGTCTGGGACTGTGCTGGGAGGTGCCATCATTTCAGCGAATCTGCTGTTGAAGATAGAGCTAGGGCTTTTCACTTTGGTCTTCAATAAAAGTAAACAGGTGTCCTATTTCTTTCCTTACTTACATCTTTTCAGGCTTTTGCCATTTCCTTCCTGGCCTTGTGGGAATGAGACAGTGGAATAACGGAAGTCCTGGGGATTTGTCAAGCTGCATGATGTCTCTATCCCCACCCTTCCCCGACCTATTTCTCATCCTCGTCATTGTTTTTTAGCATTATGAGGAGCTGTCCGAGTGACTGGGGAGCTTTACCCTCACTGTAGGCCTGAAGTTGGTGGCTTAAGATTGCTTCAGAAAGGGGAATTGGTGTGGACTGTGGGGGCAGGAGGTGTGGGCAGAAATGTGTGTGTAGCTCCAGCTCAGAGAAGTCCTGTCTTGGCTCAGCTCCTCAGAGTTGGTAGAGGTGATGGGGATTCTTGGATTGAGTTGTGAATGAGAAAATGAGATCAAGAAGTTATTATACTCCCCCAGCCAAAGCACAGGGGAGTGGTAATCAGGCCATCATGGAAGGTATTTGGTTCTTTTTGTGTGGAACCTGCTGGAGGAGCTGGTTTCTGTATTAAAGTGTCGGGGTGGGGTGGTGCATCTGGGTGGCTCAGTCGGTTAAGTGTCTGCCTTTGGCTCTGGTCATGATCTCAGGGTCCTGAGATCGAGTACTGCTTAGTAGAGAGCCTGCTTCTTCCTCTCGCCCTACCCCCTGCTCGTGCACGCTCTCTCAAACAAATAAATAAGTAAAATCTTAAAAAATAAAGGGTCGTGGGCAGTTCACATGACAGGGTTTTTCTTTTTTCATTCCTAATAATTTTGAAATAAGATCTCTTTGAAACTGGCCAGGGAGGTGACTTGTGGTGATAAAACGGTATGTCAAGGAGGGCACATGACTCTGGTTCACCATCTCTCAACTTCCTGTTGCATGTTCTTCCCACAATAGCATCATCAGTGTGTCTCTGTTGTTGTATGACTTGAGTCTGTTTGCAGACGCTCTAGAAATGGTCACTTAGGAGATAGTGATAGTGGCAGATAGGACCACTGCCATACTTACCCACATATAATTGTCCCCGAATCAATAAGAGTCCAACAGTTTTAGTTTCTGATGGGTGTTTAATTTTATTGTCCCTTTTCTCATTTGAAATAAAGCCCCTTTCTTTAATTGTATTTCTTTTTCAGTTCAAATCTGAACATCAATGATGTCCTGGGGAATTACTCATTGACTCTTGTGGATGCACTGGATACACTTGCAGTAAGTCTTTAGCCTTATTTTTTTTTCTCACTAATTAAGATATTTTGGAGTTGATTATCTCTAGTTCCCACCAGGGATGGGAATTCCAAGAAACCTGGTACTCAAAATGTATTCATAACTTTGATAGCCATTGTTTATTTTAATGACCTTAATGGTGAGGGCGAGAAAGGCATTCAAGGTCAAAGGAGTGGAGATGTGATTCCCCTAAAAAAAGTGGAGAAAAAAGTATGATTTTTTGAGGGTAGCCTATGTTTCTCCCAGTTTCCCACTAATTTATTCTATAAAGGAATCAATAGAGCATTACATTCAAGTTGACAGCTACTGTAGTTAAGATCTGAGAAGTAAAAGACAAGCTCCACGTCAGTGGGTCCTTGGAATAGCATCTGACTAGTGCTCCCCAAGAGTGTGTCCGAGCCCTGGTCCTGGCCCCCACGCAGGGCCTTCTCTAGAAACACTCCTTTCTGCATGCCACTCTGTGTTTTGTCCACACTGGGGCTGCCAATTCGGGTGCTGCCTTTCCCCCCAGCGACCCGTGGTTTCCCTCCTGAAGGCTGGGGAGCTGGAGACCTCAGGACAGCCATGAAGGACCGAGTGTGGCATGGTACTTACCATCACACTGTGCGTGCCCTGTGCACCATCTGCCCCTTGCACTGTGCTTCCAAGGGACTGTATTTCAGCATAGCCTGTTAAATCCTCCTTCGTGAGGGTGACCGCACAACCTCTTTGCTCCGCTTCATTGTCCAGCACGCCTTTACCATGAGAGAATTCTTCCCATAGTTGAGCCCGAATCCTGTATTTAATAACATACCCTTGTCTGTTTTAACTTCCCTGAGAAGAGTTTAGAGCTGTCAGGGGTTGCAAGCGGGTAGTGCTAGCTAAGTCAGTTTTAGAGCTGCCCCGGAGTTTGCTGGCGGAAGACTCATGAGGCCTTGGAAGGAGCTTGAGCGACCGACCTCCCTATGCGCTCTTGGCCCAGGTCTGCGGGGCCTCTCGGCTTTCATTTGGACAGCCTGTGGTTGCACAGCGTTTTAGTGGCCCAGTTGCTCTTTCTGTGGTTCTTGCTGCCCACTTCAGTCATTTGTCATCGGCGATCACAATGTGCCCAGGCAAGTCTGCTCAGCCTAATTAGAGTTAACTTGTTGAAGATCCCAGAGGCTGACTCAGCCTTATATGTGTTACTTAAACAGTCTTCTGGAGCTCATATACATTATGAAGGAGCACCTCTCATCCGTGACCTCTCTTTCTGGCCCTCATTGTGTCTTTTTATCCCTCCGCCATGCTCATTAAGTACAGAGACCTCATCTCTATTATTCCCTGCACTCTCCATCTAATGGTGTCTGAGGTATAGTAGGAGTGCAAATATGTGTTCAGAAAATGAATTTCTACAAATTCAGCACTTCCCAACAACATTTCCAAGGGTATAGCCCCTAAAAGAAGAATTCTATTCCCAAACGAACCTTGAGAAGTTCTGTATGCCTCTCCCATTATTGGAGAGCTACAATGTATACTAGCATTTTAAAGGCTCTGAGAAGTCCTGCAATAAAGAAACCGATTTAACTCTTTTGTTCAGTCCAGGTTTTCTTAAGCCTGAGCGAATGATTTCACAGCCTGCTTGCTCTGTCTATAGCTGTGTGACTACAGTGGGAAATTAGAATATGTAATTGAAAATTGCTGGCTTCCTTGACCATCCTCCACTTGATCTGAGATCATATCAGCCTCTGCAGCTGCTAACAGATATTGTTGCTGGTGAGCATCTGTAAGGAAACAAAGCCATTTTTTGTGGTTTTCATTGTAGAATATCCGGTCTTCAGTGTGCTAGCACTTCAGGCTTGTTTTTCAGGTGTTACCTCAGTTGAGGTTTTCTTGTTCTCTTGCTAACATTTTAAACAGGCTCTAACAGATGTGCTGTGGAAACGTTCAGAAGATAGCAGTCCCCTGACCATTGGTGGCAACATGTAACACTATTGCATAATCTTTTAAAAAGAAAGAAGTAAAGGCCAGGAAAGAAACGTCTGTAGTTGCTCTGCATGTTTATGGCAAAATAACAATGAAGAGAGGGATGAAATTATGGGCCAGACCAAGAAATACTAAGAAATAAGGCACACTTGAAAGAAATAGTGTCTGCTTGAAATTATTTGCTTTTCCTTTGTGTGTATCATTATGATGTCCTTAAAGTCCCCGGATCGTCCTAAATTTTTGAACAGAATGAAAGCATTCTGGTTCAGTTAATCTGTAAAATTTTGTTCCCAATTTGCACTTCATATTGGAGAGAGCGGCTTAGTATGAGATCATATTTATGTACCCAAAATAGGAATCATAATTTTAGATCAGTCTTTAAAAAGGACATGGAGCTGATTATTTGTATGTTTTATTTGTTTTGAATGCCACTGGTTTTATGCTGCGCTTCAAGAGATAATGCTACTATTTCTCAAAGTGTTTAGACATCTGGATAACCAGCAACAAGTGGTTTTCCAGATGTTTTGGTCTCCTGGCACCCAAGCTGTCAATTTATTTGAGGAGCATAGGGGAAGTTATATTTTTGTTTCTTTGGTTTTTGGATTTATTTTTACTCTTTTCTAGAGTTTTAGGAACTCCAGTGCCTTGCATCCTAAATCAGATCAGACTGAAATTTGAGGGAGAGTCTAGTGGGAAGGTGAGGGATACTAATGATTCATGAGGAATATTTCACAGTTTGACTATTTGGAGATAGGAGTCTTGAGTTGCAGGAAATGGGCTTGCCATCTGTCCTGGAATATATTCTAAGAGATAACTGTGCTTTTCTAACTTTTGTGTTTCCACTCCTCCCAAGGGTGGCAAAACCGTGTACAGACATTTAGATATGTGGTCCCTCTGTGTCATTTCAAGCTATTGTAATGGTTTGTGTTCCTCTTTTTGAAGATAATGGGAAATTCATCTGAGTTCCAGAAAGCAGTCAAGTTAGTGATCGACACAGTTTCATTTGACAAAGATTCCACCGTCCAAGTCTTTGAGGCCACAATCAGGTAAAATAGTACATGAAATGGCTTGAAGGCTTCTTTTGTGTGTGTGAGCAGCAAAATTCCTGTGAGGTTTTCCCAGCTGTGAGGGCCAGGTAGAGTCCATGGGGGACCTTATGGGTGCTGTGTCCATTTTTCCTCTCCCTTTTGGGCTTTATTAACAGTGGAACAATGGACATTTCAAAGTAATTACATTGGGGGCTGAAAAAAAAGACTCAAGTGTTAATGAGGTGGGAGACGGGTGTCCTTTTAAGGCAGATTTTCACTGTCACTTGGTGTTGGGTCTCATTTCCTTCCTGTGTCCTAGGAAAACCCCTACACATTTCTGAAGGAAATGAGAGTTTCCCATCTTACCTACCACCCACAGAAGACCACTGCTTATCCTTCAGGTGTATTTCCCCCTTGTGTGCCACTCTCTCTTCTCTCTACCCCCGCCTCCCCCCACTGCCCGCCGTCTTCTCTGTCCACCGCCCCTCTCCCCACCATTCCCCACCGAGGTATTGGGTATATGTTCCATACTCAGTTTTGTATCTTGCCTTTCTGGGTTGATATATTGTTGATATATTAAAATTTACTATTTAGACTTTTTGAAAATTGTGTTATTACATACCATTCCAGATGTATCATTTATTTGAAATTTAAGTTATGAAAACATTTGTACTGACAAACATCACAGTCGGCTTGCGATCATTGGGGTGGTGCATGATTCCTGGCTCTGTAGGGACATGGCTCTAGAGCTGGTGGCCTTCTGCCTCGGAGCGGGTCTTTCCCTTCTCCTCGCTTTCTCCTTTTCCACACCTTGCCTCCTCACCAGAGTGGAGAATTTCTCAGCTGCGTGGCAACCTGAACTAGGGAAGGTACTTAGTATTTGTTGTCTTTCCCTTTTCCGTTTCTGATATGGTGAAGTGTTTTCCCCATGTGAGAGAAACCAAGAGTCATTTATTAATACTGAAAGGTAATGCTTATTCTGAGAATGGTTAGTACCCTCCCATCCAATGAGATGATTGAGACTACTGGTCATTGGTTATTACTTTAAGTGAGATTATTCTTGGTGGCCTCAGGTGAAGGGTTCTCTCTCCCCTCCCCACCCCGCTTCAGTAATGTGGTTACTCAAGAATTGGTCATTTATCAGGGCTGGAAGGAACTTCAAGAAGCCATTGAGTTTAGTCTATCCGATTCCAGGCAGCTGTGAGTTCAAGGGATTTGAGGCCGCTGCTTGCAGTGTGAACTGGATTGTATGCGTTGACAAGCAGCGTGATTGTATTGTTTTTGTGTTCTTGTCATCCTGTCTTTTAGGGTCCTAGGAAGCCTCCTTTCTGCCCACAGAATAATAACTGACTCCAAGCAGCCCTTTGGTGACATGACAATTAAGGATTATGATAACGAATTACTGCACATGGCCCATGACCTGGCTGTGCGCCTCCTGCCGGCCTTTGAGAACACCAAGACAGGGATCCCCTATCCTCGGGTAGGTAGACCAGTTGGACATCACAGCATCTTCCTGAATTAAAATTCTTTTTTGATTAAGTTATTTGGGGGGTGGGGGGAGTGATGTGAAAGAGGAAAGCTGTGTCCTTGGGAGTGTCCCTAAATGTGATGTGTATGTTTTTTTAATTCATTCAACATTTACCAAGCACCTACTGAGTGCCAAGCATAAGGCTGACATACCTGATTCTTCCCTTTAAGGAACTTAGGTTCCTGTGCTCAGTATTCTGAAGTTCTTCTGCATGTGCCATTTATATCCTCTGCTACCAAATAGGATGGGGAATTTGTCTTATTTCTGACTCGAGTACCTTCCCCCAAAGACCCTCATATGTGTACTGTCGGATCCTGGTAAATGTTCCTGGGAGTGCTTCACATGGATCTTTCAAATAAAAGCCTGCCCAGCCCAGCCAGTGAGCTGCTGATTTAAATGCAAGATCTGGAATGCAATTATATCTTTGTGGCTTCAGATTTGCTGAGCTCAGAACTCCCTTTGGAATTGAGTCAGCCTTTTAGGTAACCAGCAGAGAGTTGCCAGCCCACAGAGCCTCAGTGATGAAACTGGCTGTCACCTTCTTCCTGTCTCCCTTGTCTGCCAGTCTGTGATTTGTTTATGTTCACTGAGCAGAGTTGAGTTCCTAGTAGCTCACTTAAAATTGATAGGGGAATTCCACAGCTGGCCTTTGTTTCTGATGCCAGAGCCTAGTGCTGGAACGAAGTGGGTTAGTGCATGGTATTGTAACCATTCCCCTAAGACTTGCTCTTATTAAAAGAAGGCTGTGGTGTTCTGATTGTCTTGTGTCTTTGAAGCTTAACTCCCATGTCTATCTCAGGTGTGATATGGAAGGCGGTGAGCTGAGTCACTCTGCAGTAAGTTCGGTTCAGTAGTTGAGGCTAGTGGCTGTGACTTGGCCTTCTAGCCCTGAGGGTTCCTCACAAGTCTTGCCCCAAATCCTTTGTCTCTTCCTGTCCCCAGGTGAATCTAAAGACAGGCGTTCCTCCTGACAGCAATAATGAAACATGTACAGCGGGTGCCGGTTCCCTTCTGGTGGAATTTGGGATTCTGAGCCGACTCCTAGGGGATTCTACATTTGAGTGGGTGGCCAGACGTGCTGTGAAAGCCCTTTGGAACCTGCGGAGCAATGATACGGGATTATTAGGTGTGGTGGCACCTTCTCAGGCCATTGGGACTGGGTACATCTGGCCCCCTTTCCTTTCCTCTTCTCTGGGGCTCTCCCCACTCTCCACTCCTTCTGTCTGTGCCTCTGAACCTGACAGTGGACACCTCAGAGAGAATGGCCCTTCATGTCTGCCATGTCCAATTTCTCTGTAGGACTTTCTCCTTAGAGTGAGGCTGTAATGTTTGATGGGAAAGAATAATGTTTTTGCTGTTTGAGGGTTCCCTTTTGATTTGAATCCCTGGGCACGTTCCACTTGAAAATAATTGTTAATGGAAATGCTATAAAAAGAATTGCCTCTGAAGCAGATTATATTGTTTCAATATAAGGCTCTAAATATAGGCATTTGGAGTTACTGGTAGAGTGGCTTTTTCCTTTAAAAAAGTCTAGGCATGTGGTGGTAGGTTGAAAGGCCAGATTAACCCTATATCAGGTGGGATTTTTTTTTCCTCTTGAGAATGTTTGGTCAGGATGTTATTAAAAATTATTATGCAACATTTCAAATCTGCAGAAGTAGGGAGAAAGTATAATGAATAATGAATCCCTGTGTACTCATCATCCATCTTTAATAAGTACTAGGTTTTTGCTCACTCAAGATACTATTTTAAATTGTCTTACACTGAGAAAAATTAAAAAAAAATTTTTTTTTTAATTTATTCAGTTGAGAGAGAGCAAGAGCATGAGCAAGGGGGAGGGGCAGAGGGAGAGGGAAAAGCAGACTCCCTGTTGAGAAGGGAGCCCGATGTGGGGCTCCATCCCAGGACTCCAGGATCATGACCTGAACCAAAGGCAGATGCTTAACCAACTGAGCCACCCAGGTGCTCCTAGAAAACTTTTTTTTGTTGTTGAAAAGTACCTTGATTAGTTGTCCTAGAGAATCATTGCTTTTTAAAAGTAATTTTTTTTTTTTTTTAAAGTAAACTCTGTGCCCAGCCTGTGGCTTGAACCTGAGCTCAAGAGTTGCATACTCTACCGACCGAGCCAGCCAGGCGTCCATAATGTGATTTTTGGTTATTCCTTAAGTTATTAAATGTATGTACGTATTTGTTGTGTTTAGCAGCAATGATAAAAATAAACAAGTTGCTCAAATTGCCACTCCACCACCAAATGGTTTGCCAGTATCACCATAAATTATTACCTTTTAAATTTCCCATTGGCCCTTTCGGTCTGCATGTGCAATGTTTATATATTTTCAGCTTATAAATAAGCATTTTTATTCTGCCTTACATTAGGCAGTTCAGGTTTTTCAAGTTGTTACCTTGTTTTCATAGCTACCATCTTTAAAATCTACATAGAGTCCATTAATTAACTCTTCTAGTGTTGGGTACTTGGATTATTTCTCTCTTCCTCCCCTATTTTACAGATAATATAAATCATACAGTTCATAATTCTTGATGAATGACACAATACTTTTTCTTAAAAAACACTTTTTTCATTAAGGATAAGTTGCCAGGAATGGCATTACAAAGTCAAAGGTTTGAACACTCCTTTGGCATTTGAAATGCACTGTTAATCTGGAAAGGCAAAATGACAAATTTACTTTTCTCTTGCCTCAAGTGTTTTCCCCAGTTTTGTTCCCAGTGTTTAAACACCGTGTATTGAGAAAGATTTCCTGGCTGTCTGCCGCTGATGGGACTGATAATAATGTGAGGGCCAGACGTTCATTCCTTCTTTTCTGCCAAGGCCCAGGGTGCGGGTTGAGGGGTGGGGCCAGACTTGAGGGCACCCTGGAGGAGGAGCTGTCCCCAGACACCGGGGGCCCCACAGGCTTTGTTTGTTTTTTGCAGGCAATGTGGTGAACATTCAGACGGGCCGCTGGGTTGGAAAGCAGAGCGGCTTGGGCGCTGGCCTAGACTCCTTCTATGAATACCTTTTGAAATCTTATATTCTCTTTGGAGAAAAGGAAGACCTCGAGATGTTTAATGCTGCATACAGGAGTATTCAGAACTACTTAAGAAGAGGGTGTGTCTCCTCTCTTGCCCCGTAAAACAAGTAGGGTGTGTTCTCAGCCTGAATCCACAGCGTCTTGTGGTGTCTGCACTCATCTTCCCACTTCCTAGTTCTAGGGCAGATACTTGGGGGTGAAGACCTGTATTAGCCTTCTACTGCAGCATAGCAAATTACCCCAGCACTTAATGGCTTAAGACAACAAACAGTATCTCCCACAGTTTCTGAAGGTCAGGAAGTCAGGAGCTGCTGAGTGAACCTAGGGTCTCACAAGGGTGTCACCAGGCTATTGGCAGGGTCTACAGCCGTGTCAAGGCTTGGTTGGGGCCAGAGGACCCACTTCTTGGCTCACTCCTGTGGTGGTCGGCAGGCTTCAGTTGCTTGCCATGTGGCCGTCTTTGTAGGCAAGTCATGGCAGCTGGCTTCCCCCAGAGTGACTGATACAAGAGGGATAGAAAGAGGCCAAAAGGGTGCTTTCATGACCAAAGTGTGGATTGACAAACCAACACTTCTGCCCAGGTCTGCAGGTCCCACACACGGGCTGTGGTACGGTGTGGGAGTAGGCTCTACATGTCACGCCCTCTGTGACTGCCCAGAGTCCAGGATCTCTGGCGGCCATGGGGGAGACTGGCTGCCATGAGGAGTGACATGTGCCTATGTTCCACTGTGGCTTTAATGGCAGATAGAGCTGTAATACAGGACCATTACTGAGATTATTTTGGTTCTTTTACTTGCCAAAGAATTGTTTGGATTGGTCTTTATACCTAATGAGAGAAAGGACAATTACCACATCTCCCCCCCCACCCCCATTGTTTAAAAGAGCATAATTTGTTACTACCCAGTTGTACAATCAGGAGGGCAGGAGAGAAGTGCCATTGAAAGCTACAGTGGCTTCTAACCCTGATGTCCCCTCATTTCCTTAGGTCTTTCTTTGTATGCTTTTGTATATTAAATATCTAATGTGGGTGGTAGCTACCGAGTTTCTGCTTGTTGGAATTTTCTTAGACCCATTTCTAGGTTAGCTGTTGTAGGAACCCCTTTTGTGAATGCTGTGTTTCAGTAAGAGGCCGTTTGGCTGGGGTTCAGTCATTTTTGCTTTTTATTTATTTATTTATTTTGTTTTTAAGATTTATTTATTTATTTGACAGAGAGAGAGAGCTCAAACATGGGAAGTGGCAGAGTGAGAGGGAGAAGCTGAGCACGGAGCCCAGTGTGGGGCTGGATCCCAGGACCCCAGGATCATGACCCGAGCCAAAGGCAGACCCTTAACTGACTGAGTCATCCAGGAACCCCCATTTTTGCTTTTTAAAGTTCCAACCTATAATCCCCAAGCATCTTGATGGATTCCTTCAGGCCCCTGGTGTAGAACCTTATTAGGGAAGAGACTCCTTTTTTTTTTTTTTTTAATGTAGAAGTAACAAGGATTTTCCACTCAGGTCAAATCCAGCAAAGACTCTGCTAGATACCCATTATGTGGCAGTATTCGTAAGCCAGAGTGTCCAAGTGCTTTCGGCAAAACACAGTGAAATCCCTGATCAGTTACAACGGCTAAGTTCAGAACTTTTATTCTCTTTTACCTTATGCTAGAGTCTGGTGTCCACAGGTAGAGGCAGTTTTTCTTCAAAGGTTGAAAAGAATGAGTCAGGAGAAAATGTTCATGTTGATGCCACTGAGGTTAAAGCAGCAGGGGCTGCGGGAGGAGTAGGGCTGGAGGGCTGTCAGTGAGCCTCCTCCTCACCTCTGCGCACTCTGCTTGGCCCGTTAGCCGGGAAGCCTGTAACGAAGGAGAAGGAGACCCACCGCTGTACGTGAACGTGAACATGTTCAGCGGGCAGCTGATGAACACTTGGATCGACTCTCTGCAGGCCTTCTTCCCCGGACTGCAGGTACTCAGCACCTGTGTTTGCCAGGAGAACGCGGTCATTGCCAAGGGTTTCTGTGGTTCTCTTCTCTGTTATGATACCAGAGCGTTCCCTGGCTCGTCCGGATTTGGGAGGGTAGCCGCGCAGTATGTCTTGATTATTCTGTTTGTGAGATGAGTCCTCCCGATCTTGAACAGAGCCAGACTAAATAAGTGCAAAACCGAGGCTGAAAGTAACCGTACGTGATTTTTGGATCATCTGTCTCTTATTGTTTATTCTTTGCTCCCAAGTACAGTTAACCTGTTGTCCTATGCAGTTTGCACAGGTTTGGCATGGATGGTCTGTTAGGGAGGGCATCCTTTTTTCTGGGTTGCTACTTTTGGGTTGGTTTTGTCTCCAGCCAGGTCGGATAAGAACCGGGGGACAGAGGGAGAGCCCAGGGCCTTTGTGTCACGTGTTGCCACTTGAGAAAAGCGTCTTCTTCTTAGGTTCTGATAGGAGATGTGGAAGATGCCATCTGCCTCCATGCCTTTTACTATGCCATCTGGAAACGCTACGGGGCCCTCCCTGAGAGGTACAACTGGCAGCTCCAGGCCCCCGACGTGCTCTTCTACCCGCTGAGACCTGAGTTAGTGGAGTCCACGTATCTTCTCTACCAGGTACTGGATTCTGTGTTTAAATGCCAGCAGGACCTGTAGCGGTTGGTGTTTAGCGGACACTGGCCGATGGGTATAGAACTAGAGGATTTCCTAGTGACTCCAATACGGGGGCCGCCTAACCATAGGCTGGTTGGTACTGAGTGTGATTCCTGGGTCCACAGGACAGAGAAGTGTCTGCGGTCACACACGGAGTTGTTGAACCTTACGTTCTGCAAAGCCCATTCTGCCTGGACGATAGGCCTTTCTCTCACATCCTTAAACATGAAAGAAGACTTAGTACTCCATGTTTTCTAGATTTATTTGGCCAAAGAACTCTTTTTTGAGATATGGCTCTCTCCTCATGCCCTGTGGAACCCTGATCTGTGTAATCATTATTCAGACCAAAGGAATTCCTTTTCTGGGTAAAGGAAATCATCTGGGATTCATCTGAATATCTGTTTTTGTTTAATGCCTTAAAAAAAATGTATAGTGTTAATTTTTGCATGGAATATAATGCCAGAGGGATTGCTGCTCTAGCTGTGAAGCCTCCCCCGCCGTCGAAGGTAGATATTTGTGCCTCTGGGTGTGCCATCCATTCACACGGAGAGCCTGCCCCCGTTCACAGATACAGCAGCTTTGTGCAAAGCCGGCCTTCAGTGCACCTCGGTAGACCTGAGACAGACGCCTGTAGGGGGCCGGCCCGCACAAGAAGATGCTCATTGTTAGGCATCCTCATAGTAGGCTTAGTATTGCGGTTTTGATTTAGTAAAGAAAAAATTGACACTGAATCATGCCATTTGCTTCTAGATGAAAAAGGGAGAAATCCCACGAAATGGGTCCTAGGCCTCACGTGTAAAGAGAGACCTCCTGAGTTTGAGATAACCTCTCGGAAGAGGGCACAGATAGCCTCCGAGTTTGCTTCTTCGAGCTGGGTGGATAGCCCGGCTCCGCGCTCCAGGGACGCCATGGCTGGTGCTGCCTGAGCCCTCCTCTTAAGCTTAAGTCTGTTGCCTTTGCGTTTGTACCTTTTCATTTCTGTCCCTTCTTCTTTCCTATTTTCAGCTTCTTCCTCCCACTATTTTCGTAGAAGTGGGAGAACCCTTGGGCTTCCCATCTCCGCCTTCGGATGCCACGCCCTGTGCTCTCTGCCCACACAGCCCGCTATCCTCAGACGCAGGAGCTGGCATTTGCTGCTGCAGGCGGGCACTAGGTGGGAATTCAGGATGACCCCCAGCTTTTAGACTTTTGGTGGGGTACCGGTCTCGTCTTCTCAGAGAATTGGTGTCCTAGTGAAACCATGCAAGAGCATGTGACAGCTGAGTAAGCAACCCTAAGGACTGAGTTCGTAGGGCAGTTGGAGAGCAAAGTGTGGGGGCCTCCTGTTTGAAAATCTTCCTGTTCCTCTTCGCTTTTCCTCAAAAGGCTGTAAGTGGAATGGGGGCCAAGTCCTGCATCCTTGGGTCTGCATCTTGAGTTTATAGAGAGTTCTGAGGCAAGAGAGAAACGAGATTTGTTCTCATATGTGGTACCATCAGTGAGACATTATTTCATTTTGGATCATGGCGGGGATCAAGAGAGCCAGAGCACAATGTTGTTCTACCCCGGAGCGGATTGTCTCAGCCCTGGTCATGGTTAAACAGGTGGTACAGGTACTTTGACAGGAACCAACTGAACACCGTTGTTCTTTACCATTTGTGACCCTTCAAGGTAACGTGAGCTAGGCGTTGTGCCTGCCTTTGGCCAGTGACTCACCTCCTCAGGAGAGTCCTGCAGTCACCGTGATGTTTGTTGATGGCATGTTTTCCAGGCCCTTGCTGGATCACATTCTCTCATGTTCTCTCTAGGCAACCAAGAATCCCTTCTACCTCCATGTAGGAATGGATATTCTGCAGAGTCTGGAAAAGTACACAAAAGTCAAGTTAGTTTTCTAAGTTCCTTCCTTTTTCTGTTGGCCACTTTTGATTTATTTTCAGTTGTTCCGGGGAAGTACTCTATTTTGCACTTTAATTTATAGAACAGATCATTAATATTAATTCTGCAGGGAAATTGCTTACTTTTTGTGTAGCAGGACTGGTCCGTTACAGTGGGAATTGCTTTTTTTTTTCACCTTTTTTTTCCTCTAAGGTTCCAGCAGACTGTGTATGTCCTTTTTAAGTAACTTATTCTTCCTAGTTGTACAAATAATACATGTACTAGAAAGTTTAGGGAGTACAGAAGAAGTATGGAGGTAGAGTATTATCATTGTAATCTTCATGTGTAGAGAGCCACAATCAATAGTCAACATTTAAGTTTATATACTTATGATCATTTTCATATATTTTTATATATAATATGTGTTTATACATATGTATTTCAATTTTGTGACTTTTTTTCGCCTAGCAGTATATCTTTTTTTCTTACAAAATAGTATTTTAGGCTAGCCAATGTTAAGTCAATTCTACAGATAGTAGGACAGAAAATTTCAATTAGTTCTGAATTTGTTGCCAATCATTTTCTTGGTGTCATGTTAAGTACTTGGCAAATATCCTCCACCAGTGCCCTCTTCTTTCCCGTATAATTAACCTGTTGATGTAGCAGCCAAACCACTTTTTCATAAATTTGCAAATAGTCTAGGCTGAAAAAGGATAGCTCTTAAAACTAACCTAATTTGTTTTTCATATAGCATTTGATAATTTGGTGATTATTCTATTAATAGACTATTTCCACTTCTTAAATTAGTAAGCAGATAGGAAGGAGCAGAGACAGGACTAACTGGAAACTTGTTTTATAGGTGTGGTTATGCAACGTTGCATCACGTCATAGACAAATCCAAAGAGGACCGGATGGAGAGCTTCTTTCTCAGTGAGACCTGTAAATACCTGTATCTGGTATGTGTGTTCGAAGGTTAACCCAAGAAACGGTTATTAGTGCTCGGAGCACACATTCATTTGGTCTTCCACCTAGTATGTATTCACTAGGCACGGCTCTGTGCTGGACATGTGCTGGCCCAGGGACACAGTACTCTCAAAACAAGAGCGCAGTGCTCTCGTCTGCAGTGGTTTCTAATGTTGTTGGGGAGGCATTGACAAGTAAACAAAGGAACTTCAGATTACAACTGGTATGAAGTCCTGGTCATGGTTCCTAGAGGAGCCGCGCACATGAGTTGTGGTAGTCGGGGAAGGAGTCTCTGAGGAAGAGAGCAGTGTCTTCAACTCCTGGATCTTCTGATGATTGTGAGTTGGGCCGAGACCCCAGCCCATTGGCTCTCAGGTGTGTGGAGAGAGACAGAGTCGTGGGCGCTGGAGGAAACCTTGAAGGGATCATTTGTCAACATTTGTTCTTCCCCTTCTGGGAGCTGCTGTCTATATGGAGATGTCAGGTGACTTGCCTGGATTTTCTGGGTGACTGTAGGGCAGAGCTGAGGCTTCAGTCCTGGTCTTGACTCCTGCAGTGCCCTTTCCACTCCCCTGCTCCGCAGCGTGCACACACGGTCTCTGTGGCTTGTGCATGCAGCTACTCTCCCACCTTCTCTGCGGCTGTACTCAGCATGGCTGTGTACAGCAGAATGCTTCCTCAAGGTGCAGAGGGGCAGGGCTTCCTGCTGGGAAAGCAGTGTGGAGGCTGAGACTCAAAGGGAGTAGAGCAGTAGTGACAGGCTGTTATTGAGGTCCCCAGTTCCCAGGTCCAGGGGCCAGCTGGATCAGAATCACCCTAGGGCCCTTGTTAAAATTACAGCCCTCTTGAAACAGATCTTCAGAAGTGGGCTCAAGAGTCTGTAATTCTGGCAAGTGGCTTGTGCTTCTGTAAAGCCAGGGTTTGGAATCACCAGTGTAAAGTGGTGTGACTTTTCACAGGAGACTGCAGGGGAGGCACACCCATGGGAAGGTGGCTGGCCTGCCATCAGATCCCTGTGGGGGCCTAGGCCTCCCTCTCAGTGCTTTGCTGGTGGGGAGGGGTGTGCAGGCTGGTTGCTGCAGGCTGTCAGGAGTCCTGCATGCATCCCATACAGCAGCCCGTGGTGCCTGCGATGTTCGCAGGGCGAATTCTAGAGCAAATGAAGGAGACCTTCTAGGCAGTTCTAGAGGAAAGAACGTAGGGTCTGGGGCCAGAAAATGTAGGCCTGCCACATTCTTCCCCTGTTAGCTGTGGAAACACAGACAAGGTGTGGCGAGTCTCATTTTTCCTCATCTGTACAGTACTTCAGGTGACTGAGGTTTCTTCCATCACTGAGATTTCTGTTCTAAATGTTAACTCATTTAACATTTACTAGACACCTGCCTTTTCCCCCCACTGACCTGTCCTATATTCAGTTAGATGTTCTTTCTGGATGCTCCTGCCACATTCCTCCTGTTGAAGGAAAGCACTGCCCTCTGTCCTCGGAGCCTGTCCTATGTCCTGACAGGAATCAGTGGGATGATGGCACAGGTGTCTGCTCTGTGCCAGGCCCTGGGATGTGGAGAAGGATGAAGGATCTGCTTCCTCCCTTCCAGCATTTTCTAGTATGGAGCCTACGTGTGTGAAGTGGGGTGGTTCTAGAACTCTAGTGCCAGAACTCTCAGGGGAGCACATGGGGGTCATCGAGAGAGCTTTTGTAGACTATGCAAGTTTGGGTCTCAGCCCTGGGATTTCTGAATGTTTAAGTCTGAGCAGGGTGAGATGGGATCGGGGAAACTCAGGCATTTGGATTTAAACAAAACTGGTGATTCTGGTTTGCATCCAGAGTTGGGAATCACCTTTTCACCCATTTGTCGCTCAAAAGCTTGAGGACCTGGCAAATTCTACTCCCTGAGTAGTCTGGGATACATTTGACTGAGTTTGTTCCAAAATTCCTAGACCTACCAGTTGTATCTTTTTCATTTTCTTTTTTTTTTTTCCTTTAATTTTATTTCCTTTTTATTTCCTTTCCTTTTATGTTTTTTTTTTTTTTTTTTTTCCCCTTACTAGTTATTTGATGAGGAGAATCCAGTCCACAAGTCTGGAACCAAATACATGTTTACAACTGAGGGACACATTGTATCTGTGGATAAACATCTTCGGGAATCACCCTGGAAGGAATTCTTTTCTGAAGACGGAGGGCAGGACCAAGAAGGGAAGTCTGTGCACAGGCCTAAGTCACCCGAGTTAAAAGTCATCAACTCCAGCTCCAACGTAAGTTGCTTTCTCCAGGGGGTGGGGGGTTGGCATGTGGAGGAGGAGAAAAATAATGCAAACTTTTCATCCAAAGTCCCTGCTAGAAAATCAGTGGCACACTTAGACTGCATCACTGGAGAAGAGTTTCACAAAGGACCATTCACGTGGGTATCGTCAGGGTGTGGGGACCCACGGGAGCAGCGCCACTGTCCATCCTCACTGCAGCAGTTCGTGGTCACAGGAACATGGGTGGGCAGAGGCATGCAAGAGTGGGGGGTTCCTGGCAGAAGCCTTGCTCTGAGCTGGCTCCAGTGAGCTTGCAAGAAGGGAGCCAGCAGAGTAAAGACTTAACCATCCTTCTGCCCTCTTCTTTGTGGGAGCTTCTCTTTGGCGATGCTTTCCAGAAGTCAGGGGCCACAGAGACCCTTTTGGTATACTCTATTAAGTTGACCCCTGGGGCCAGAGAAGGATGGGGGAGGGCAGAGAGTGGATCTGGATGGACAGATGGAAGAGATCCAGCCAAATCACCCACCAGCAGGAGAGGGAGAAAGAGCAGTCATCAGTCATTGAGATTTTTAATGAAATGCTCTTGGAAGTACAGAAGAATTCAGTTTCATTTAAAGCAGGGTTTCACTGAGCATGTCTCAACCATCCTGATAATCCCTGATAATCTGGGAAAGATTTAGAAACAAGTCCTGGAGTTTCTGGTAGGAGTCCTAGGTAGTTGTATTGATTTGAGTCAGGATGGTTTGGAAGTGAGGATGGGGAAGGAGACCCTGTGTCAATTGAAATATCAAACCGGGTTATCCCACATGCATTGGATGGCACCTCTCTGCTCAGAAAAAGCCTCTGTTGTGAGGATTCCTACCACCTCCTTCCAAACTGCCTTGGTTAGGGGACACCCCTTGGTCCTGGGCTGTGCTTCAGCATTTGACCTTCAGTGTCCCATTGACGGTCTTTACCATCAAGTCTGTGAACTACGTTGACAGACCAGAGCAGAATCGGTCCCCCAAATCTCCATTAAGGCCATGTAGTGTAGACTAGGTGAACACAGCCTAACTGAGAAGGAAAAGGAAGGGAGAGAGGGGGAAAGAAAGAGTAATAACTGTTGTGTATAACGCCTTCCATAGCCCAGGCCCCTTTTCCAACCAGTCATATGCGTCAGTGTCTCACAGAGGCCCCGGGAGGGTAGGTGCCTTTGGTCTCATTTTACATGTGGAGAAAGGGAGGCACAGAGAGCCTCTGGTCATATGTTGGAGCCAGGAGCCAGACTGCAAGGAGACACTCCTCTTAGACCTGATCCTGTGCCTGGCTCTGGTGATGTGGGTCCATCCGAGGGGTCTCATGGGGAGACTGGCTCCTCCCCGGGTGTTCAGCAGTGAGGCGCTGCGTGAAGAGCTGCCTAAGCATGGAGGAGGGCGTAGCTGATCTGCCCTGGAGAGTACCGAGGGCTTCATTGCAGAGGTCGCTTTTCAGAAGATCTGTGAGCAATGGGGGGAGCTTCCAGGAAGGGCTGTTCAGGCAGCAAGACCAGACCTCCAAGTGCATGGCTGGGCAGCGTTTGGGATGAGCTGAAGGACCTGTTGGACTTGATCTCATGAGGAGGAGGAGCGGGGCCTAGTGAGTTCAGTAGTGGGGCCGAGCAGTGGGAACCTGTGTCTTTGGGGGCAAGCGTGTCATGAGTGTATGTGGAAACTGTTGGCAGATAAACACTTTTGGTTCTCAAACTTGCATCTCCTTTGAGCGGGGAAAGGGGCTTTTCCTTAAAACAAGAAAGCTCTGTGAAGCATTTAGGTTTTAGCTGTGCATGGGAAGAACTCTAAACTCAGGAAAAACCACAGTGCAGTTGACGCTTGAGCAATGCAGGTCTGATGTGCATGCAGGTGTTTTTTGATAAATACATTGGAGTCCTGTAAATGCATTTTCTCTTCCTTATGATTTTCTTAGTAACACTATTCCCTCTAACCGACTCCATTGTAAGAATATATTGTCTAATACATGCAGCATACAAAATTCAAGTTAACCGACTGTTGATGTTCTTGGTATGGCTTCCAGTCAGCAGTAGGCCGTCAGTAGTTCTGAGGGAGTCACAAGCAGTATGTGGGCTTTCAACTGCACCAACCCCGCCATTGTTCAAAGTCCAGCTATATTTTCATTCTTTTTTTTAAGATTTTTCTTTATTTATTTGAGTGAGAGAGAGAGAGAGAGAGAGAGGCACAAGTGGGGGAAGGGCAGAGGAAGAGGGAGAAGCAGGCTCCCCGCTGAGCAGGGAGTCCGACGTGGGGCTTGATCCCAGACTCTGGGAATCACTATCTGGGCCGAAGGCAGATGCTTAACCGATCTGAGCCATCCAGGTGCCCCAGCCAGCTGTATTTTCAAATAGCTCAGGTGTTTCTGAAATTCTGGGGGGACTAGGATAAGGACCCAAGGGATGAGTTTTTCGTCCTGGTCACTCTCCCCTTGGGTGAATATCTTTTAGCCTCCCTGAGTCTCCGTTTCTTCCCCTGAAGTGAAGGTATTGAATGACGTCCCCCAGCTGGGGGTGGTTTCCTCCTCAAAGAACATTGAGCAATGTGAGGAGGCAATCTTGCTTGTCACGACTAGGGGAGTGGGGGTGAGGGGGCACCTACGGGAGAGGCCAGGGATGCTGCTGAGCCTCCTGCAGTGCCCAGTGGAGAAACCGCAGTTTATTCTCTTAGCAAGTAATACTTGGATTTTTAACTCAGAGTACATTTTCCCCCCTGGCTTTTTTTCTTCCTAGTGCAATCGTGTTCCTGATGAGAGGAGATACTCGCTCCCCTTAAAGAGCGTCTACATGCGGCAGATTGACCAGATGGTTGGCTTGATATGACCCTCCTCTGTGCGGCCTCCGCTGAAACTGGCTGGAAACAGCTGAGACCACGCTGTGCAGAGGTCCAGTCTGAAGTGGAAGAGGGTGGAAGTCGGGCCATCCGTGATGGTGTAGGGATTTCTGTCTAGCTCCTCACGCACATCTAGCAGAGTCTTGCATACAGTAGTGTTTCTCTTCTGTTCAATAAAATGTCCTGTTTTTCTTAATGGTAAAATTTGAAGTTAAGAAGGTGCGTAGACATTGGCCTCCTAGGACATGCTGATTTTATAAGCACAGTGTGGATGGGGCATCTTCGGATGGACTTTCATGGCTTCCCACTTTGGAATCCAACAAGTGTGTTCCAGTCTCCAGCACTTGCTGTGACTGCAGTATTGCTACCTCTCTGTTAGAGGACTGTGAATGAAATTTCCGTGCAAAGGGCCTGAGGTTCATCCCTATTTATTGCATTTTGTTATCTTTCTCTCTTATTAGATGATTGGCTCTCCTTCCACCCATTATTTTGGATCACAGTGGGGGAAATCATACTGTTTTTCATTTGCACCCCACATAATTGTCACAGTGTTACAAGTTAATTGCTTATGAATAACTTTTACCTGAATTTCAAAAGGCAGTCTTAGGTTGTCACACAGCTAGATCTTTTGGATGGTATATTACATTTAATTTGAACTTACCTGAGGAACTCCCATAGTGCCAGAACCAGGTGCCTTTTAGGGAGAGAAAAATACCTAAGAATGTCTGAGCTTCCATCTTTCTCATACCTACTAACCAAGGATTCTCAATTCTGACCGTGTTTGAGTTAGAATTTTGTTTTGTTTTTGTTTTCTCTGTCCAGTGCCAATTAGCTAAGTTAGGGAGAAAGAAATGATCACATGACTCTCTGGCATCCCCGAGCTGTTTTTCTGTACTACTGGCTTTAGCTTAGTGCCTTATAGGATTTTGGTTGGGGCTGCTGCTTGTCACAGCTGCGGCTCTGGTTTTAGCAGCCTTGTTTTGTGTTGTCACAGGGTGGGACCACAGTGAAAAAGGGGAAGGGATGAGTATCAGTAAGATTCTGGAAAATTCTTGGCCAGTCCTTGCCTTTCAGCCTGATACTTTAAGCAGACCTACGTTAGGAGGAAGTTGCGCCACATTGCCTTCTTTCTTTGTTGTTATTTTCTTAGCCAGAACAGAGCATCTCTGTTTGAACTTAGACTGAATGCTCCTACAGAGCAGAGGTGGACGTGAACCCTTAGCCTGGCTTCCATAGAACATCTGAGGTTGAAATGAGTCCTGGTACAAAAGCTAGAAGTCTTTTAAGAACCTCCAATCTCACCTGTCATTACTTGCACAGCCTTACTGTGCTTACCTGTCTCTCCTTGCACACTTCAAATGATTTCCTCTTCATCTTCTTAAAACCAGAAATGTGGTCTGAGCCATTGTATACCAATCAAAGGGAGAAGTTTTATTCCTTCTTGAAAATTTCAGTGTTACTGTGTTTTTTTTTCTTTTTTTTTAAATAGATACAGAATTCAGTTCTTGGAGAGTTTTGAAAAAGGGATTTTCACCTTTGTCTTTTTAAATATTTACTATGCAAATTGTTATAAACAAAGTCATATGCTCTGTTTTACCTTTTCTGTTCATTTCAGAAGCATTCTCTTTATCAACCTTGTGTCATCTCCTGAACAGAACATATTCTTTGAGAACACTACATATTTTAGGTGTTCTTGTTGTCTTGGTTAAATCACAATGTTCCATTTGACATACCCACGTGCACACAGGCACAGCGTCCCTGGACCTTTTCTCCAGGCAAACTGAAGTGTCCCTTTTGGGGGGATAGGGTATGTCAGGGAAGAAATTGGGTCCTCAGGGCAACAGTTCTCTCTCTCGTGGCCCTGCTGGGTTCCCTCTCCAGCTTCTGGGATAACATCGATGTGTAGCATTCCAACACCATCTTCTCATCTGGGACCTTAACATGTCTCCCACTCTGGCATTCCATCCCTCTTTATGCTCAGGAGTAGGGACCTGTGCCTCAGGGCCACTAACGTACGCCAGGGGCCATAGGCTGGCGTAAGATCTGTTTTGTATGAAGTCTCAAACCCCCTTGATTTCTGGGCATTGACGTGTACCAGTTGGTGAGACCGAGGGTGAAGGCATTACTGCACACTAATCGTGGTGGTTGACCTTCCAGACTACCCCGTCTAAAGTTGGAGGCTGCCCGGGATCTGTAGGGCTAGAGGCAGAATACTGTCTAGTGCCAGTCATGAAACGAGGGATCTTTGAGCCAAGTTCAAAGCTTGCTTGTTTTCTTTTTGGAAATCAGAATGTCAACAACTGTGTTATATCTTGCAGGGCTTTTGCTGTTTTCTTTTGTTCTGTGTTGCAGGATACCCGGTGGGGGAGGGCCACGGAGGGGAGTGCTAAAGAGATTCCCGGGCTCCGTGCTTTGCCCCAGTTCTGCCCTGATTGTGAACAGACGTCATCCTTTGGAACAGCTGTGAGCCCGCACCGTCCTCAAGTTCCCCTAGGTAGTTAGTTAGTGTCTGGAGTCTGGTCGACACGAGGAATACAGTTTTGCAAAACTTCCAGAAAGCTGCCCTGTTAGGCCAGGCCGTCTTCATCTCCTGCCACAGGATTCTCAGTTGGTACGGGGCGGGCTTTGCTGCTTTCAGTGATGTGACTCAGGAGCTCCATTTCCAGAATAGTAGGTGACAGAGGAAGTGTTGGCTGGCTTCCAGCTCTGCTGGCCTTTGTGAGGAACCAGCTTCCATGTTCATGTGCTTTCCTGCAGTTTGTTCTAGCTCTTCTACCTGAATTTAGTCTGTGTCTCCTCATCCCAGGTTCTTTGTCCTGGATCGGGGGGGGGCAGGCACATGTCACTAAAGTCATTGTGTGTTTCTGCACCAGGGTGGTGTCTGTGCAGGTGAATTTTAGAGGAGGCTCTGTGTGCAACCTGAGGGCTTGAATGTGGCTACCCTTCCATCCCTCCCCTCCCCCACCAAAGAAAAATACCCTCTTAGCCATTTCCTTAGCTCAGTTTATTGAATGATTGCAGACTGTAATTCTTTGCTTTGGATCTTGTGGGCTGAACATCAGACATCCTTTTCTTCTCTCTGTAGGGCTCCAGAGGTCTTTCTCTTTTGACACTTTCAAATTTAATGCTGGTGAAAAGGTAGGGCTGAATGATTGCTCTAACCAGAGTACCTGAGCAGGGACTTCTGAAGAAAACCTTGGTCTTTTCTTTTCCATTCCCAGACATCCAGCTCCTTCTCTAGTGCCTCTTCCCTGCAGGGCAGGGACCCTTGTGAAAGAGGGAAGGTGGGCTGGCTGGGTGTGTCCCAGGTTTTGTAGGGCTCAGGGTTCTGTTCCTGCTGGAGTTTGGATGTGAATCCAGGAAAAAGTACCTGTGGACCTTCCTGATTCATTATACCCCCTTTCCCTCTTTCTGAGAGGCAGAGAAATAATATTTTTAAAAGGTATTTTGTTTTAGTTTTAAATAGCAAAACACAAGCTGCATTTTTATTTATTATGCACAAGAAAGGTAAATCTGTTTTTACAAAAAAATCTGGAGTTGGAAACTCTGGGAAAACCTATTGAGATACACACATGCTTCTCTCTCTGTAATGTGCAATATGCTTTGCAACTATAGATGATATTTTATGTTTAATCTGTAAATAAGAAATGTATTTAAATTAAGAGGGAGCTTTTTGTAAAAGGACCAAATGTTCTTTTATAAATGTACTAAGAAATATCTTGTTCTTTGAAATTTATTAGGATTTTTATGAGTAATTTTTATTAAAAGATTTTTTTTGAATTGTCATTTTTTTGAATTGTCATTTTGTTTCTCCTTTATATATATATATATATATATAAATAAACAAGGGGGAAAACCCTTTAAAGGAAATTATAAAACTAGACAAATAAAAACTTTATTTTGTGGGTTTGGTTTTTTGTTTTTTGTTTTTTGTTTTTTACAGCTGAGCCCTGAGTAATACTACCCCATTTTTGTCTGTCACACCTCCCGTTGAACTGTCCTGGCCATGTGGCTGAGAGTAACGATTTTCATCTTGTCCCTCCCCTCCTCCCTGCAGCAGCCTCCTTTCTCCCAGGCACTGACTTGTTCATTTGCAGTTCTTGTTGCCATTTATCTGAGTCTCTCTAGGTTCTGGAACCCATTCTCCATTATCTTCGCAAGGCGGTGCATTTCTCCTGACCTCATGCAGGCTAAGTGGGGGTAATAGTTCATGAGGTCCGCGAGGGGTGCACTGGTCTAGGGGAAGCATGAGCCAGGAGGGTTTGAAGTGGGATGGCTTCCAACCCTACTGCTACCTGAGTTGGGATGGGATGTGGAAGAAGATGGCTGGTTCTGCCCCTGTGACACCTTGGTGTCCCACCTTTGTGTTCCAGGCAGTTCTGACGGGGCTTTTAAAACACTGAATTGCAGCAAGGAGAGGGAGGGAACCCTGCGATCAGAAGTACTTTGCAGGTTGTAAAGCATACTGGCCTGCGATGCTGGGGTGAAGGGTCTAAACCTTGATCTCAGCTCAGGTCTTAATCTCGGGGTGTGAGTTCAAGTCCCATATTGGGCTCCACACTGGGTGTGGAGCCTACTTAAAAAAAAAAAGGAAAAAGCACACTGCCCCTTTGTAAGGGTTGTTGGTGCTTGTGTTTATGAAGCCTTAGGGGTTTGTAACCCTCCTGACAAGATCAGGCAGGGTCCCTATGCCAGGGTCAGCTGAAGAGCCTCGAGAGGGGGAGCACCAGTGTCCTCGGTCAGCCGTGGTGAGGGTCCTAGAGCTTCCTTCCAGACGTTGCAGGAGAGCGTGAGGGCTGAGAGGGGGCCTCTGGACCTGCGCTGTGTGAGGTACAGTGCTAACTCTACCGATGAGCCTTGCACCAAGTTATACAAGGTGCACAATCTTGTGGGGCCTCAGTTTCCCCATCTCTTATATAGAATGACAGCTGCAGTCCATATGCATAAGGTGGACGGAATGGATTAAAAGGCATACCGTGCTGAAAATGGCACCTGGCGCGTAGTAGCCCTGTGTGTGCAT